TTGTTCGATATACTGATGTACGCATTAAAAGCAAAAATAAAAATTAAAAAATCAAAAGTTAATTAAGTCTCTTAATTAAACATGAACACATACCTATTTTAACCAGGCAAACACAAACGAACGCTTAACTGAATATATATTTTATTATTTCATATACAAAAGTTATATGATACAATATTTGTGTAACTAATCTGTGAAACAAACGGAAAGTAGATAGGACAAAATACATTTCTACGTAGACTAGTTTAATATCTTAGTGCCTGAATTTAAAATGATATACTTGTTTATGAGGTAAATAAAAGAATTATCAAGACAATGAAAGATTTCAGGCGATAATAAATAAAGAAATATGTTACGCTGCACTGATTAATGGACGCATATCCTCGACAAAGTCAAAATCATGATTTAAAATTATTATCTAATAAAAATGTATTATAAATCTTTGAAAATCAAACTGTGCTCCTGTTTCTAATCATTTAATTTTTCACTTACAGTATTTAATTGTCTAATTAAATAATTTAAACATATGGACTTGTAAGAACGCATTCGATTTCCAGATTTATATTAGAATTGCATTAGCAAAGAAATGTTTAGCAACGGAAAGATTTTAAAAACCTGCAGCTTTATAAAAATATTATCATTACCAGAGTTCATCAATAAATAAGTAAAACGAAGTTATAGAAACAAAGATTAACTAAGGAGAAAGAGAGATCATAATTATATTACGAATCATAATTATATTAGAAAACAGGTCCATTCGGAATAATAGAATTCCCTGAGATGTTTCAGTCCAAACAAAATCAGACTTAAAATGTAAGGATACTCTCTCTCTCTCTCTTTCTCTTTTTAGAGAATAAATCTAAAAAGAACACAATTTAGAAAGAGAAAGGAAAAATGATAATCTTGATTATTTAGATCAGGATTTATAATAAAAAAAAAGGTTGGAGAACATATTAATTACTCAACAAAGGAAGAGAAAGAAAAATTGTTTCGCCACTACTTTATCTATCTTGTGTTTCTTTGTAAAGCTTTTTTACTTTTCGCGTTGCTAAACGTTTCTTGTAAGTTCTCAGCTATATTCCAATGCTATATATCTTCAAAGTAAAAGCTTCTTCATATAAGACACGCTGTATATAAACGATATATATAAACAAGAACATCAGAATAATGATTAATTATTTACTTTCACTGTATTATATACTGCTCTGGCACCATAGAAGACATATTCTTAACAAATGCATCGTCATCGCAACAAATAATATAACATACGTAAGTAAACTACTACATCACTTATTACCAAAAAAAGTAATTAGTAAAAATAGAATACACACATTATGAAGGTATAAGAACACATAAATACATAAAGTGTGAGAATACAAAATGTTGTGAGAATTGTATAAAATCATTTCTCAACGTTATTATTGATACACATTTTACCTAAAATTATAGGATTGTTTCTTTGAAACTGTATAAAGTGAAAATAGACATTATTCGATAAATAAATTTTAAACTGCAAAAAATAAATGTCGATTAAACATGATGTACTCTCTTAAACGTAAAATTAATTAATTCACCTGTGATTACGTACAACAGCTATTGTTATTAATTAATTGCTATTCATTTAATTAAGTTTAAACTTGTTAATCGTTATTAATATGAAGATAACGAAGAAATGGATATAAAAAGTATAGATCTATTAATTTCTTAGTTTATAAATTTCTGTAAAGCAGTGTTCCTCAATTAACAAAGCATTGTTTATCTTGTAATTTATAAAATGCTAGCCATCGAAAATAATCTCTTAAAAAAACAGCAAGTCTTTATTAAAAAACTTTCTCTCAAAGCTTAATGTATTATATACTACTAAACTTCTTACTTCTAATATATACTATTAAACTGTAATACTAATTTAATACTATTTTTTGAAAAACATATTTCATTTTCTATAGCTATAAAACTTTAGAAAAATAAAAGATTAAACATATAAAATAAGAAATTTAAGTGATTGAGAAATACTGCTGTTATGTATCTTTTAAATTCTTCGTCAAACTGGCTCGTTGTGGAATGTTGTTTGTTCGACTATCTAAGCCGAATATATAGGCAGAATTATTATGTCATGTATAAAATAAGAACAATGCACAGGTCAATCTTTTTTACATATCCGGACTTATAGATTTCGAATATGAAACTTATAATCAACAAACGTATGTATAATTACATTTTGTGATAAGACATTATGCCATTATAAATTCATCTACATAAATATATCTGCAGTCTTAATATAAATATATTATTAAAGCCAAATTAAACAATAAAATCATAGACATATTGCATATTCATAATGTTTTCAGACAGGAATTATCAAGAATATAATATTATCCTTGCAATTAGAATATTAAGTCATTAAAACAACTATTAAAAAATATAACTTGCAGTAGAACCAATGACTATCCTTAAATATAAATATAATCGATGGATATAAAGCAAATGGAGAAAAAACAGGAAGATAAGAAAGAACAAAAGTACATCGAAAAAATTGTACTCGTAATAACGTTGATTTTATGAGCAATCTGGAATTATATATGTATATGCATGTGTATATACAGAGTGTACAAAAAGTCCCGGACCCTTCAAATATCTTGAAAAGTAAGCATTTTTGAGAAAAATGTTTCAAACAAAAGTTATATAGGGTTTTAAAAGATTTATTCACTGATCACATCCGTTTGATCCAAAGTCAAACTTTTTGTACATCCTGCGCGCGCGCGCGCGCGCACACACACACGCACTCTCTCTCTCTCT